GTCCTTTTAAGTAACCGTCAACAAATTGTTTTGCTTTAAGAAAGCCCAGTCTGTTTTGCCCGGGACCATGGTTGGTGGGTGCTCCCTCTGTTCTTGTCTCGACCCTCAGTCCTTTTATTATATTTTTCTCCTCTCCACTTTACTGGAGTGAGAGAGCGGCTGCGTGGAGTTCAGTTGCCGGATCGGCCTAAAACCACAACAAACAGCCACCAACTCGCAGCCTGACTTTGCAGTAAGAACATGTTTGGGTTGTATGAAGAGGACATTTTGCACCACTTCAGACTAAAAAGGAGCCTTCAGTGGAGGCGAGAAGGTATTTTCGTGCTCCAAGAGTGGAGTAGAGCACTCTTATTGCAGATGACAATCAAGCTCTGCTGTTATAGGCAGAAAAGCTGATTCTCTAATGCCTCATTTTTATATTGAGCCCTAACTTCAGTGAAAGTGCCTCTGATTTACCCCACTCTGGTGCTGAGTCTAACTTGGTACTTTTCACATAAGAACCACCAAGACATTTTTCTGAAGAACCTTCTCATGAGAAGGCGCTGTTCAACAGATCACAAACACATGCTTTCTCCACTCACCTGGCACTATCTCAAATAACTAAGTTTTATCTCTCAGTTTCCCAATTCTGGGACTGTAATTGTCCATTTCTGTCTCACCAGTACAACGAATCAGTGTACTTTAAATGCTTTACTTCTGGATTTCAAGTCCCGTTCCTGAAGCAACAGAACAAGGTGCTGGACACCAAACAGGGATTCCTACAGGAACAAAAGTGTTAGAGGAGCAACAGTGAGCCAATGTTTGAAACTCATATTGGCATCTCGAAGAGGCAGCTGTATGTACTGGGAAGGAACAGAGCCAAGCTGGAACCAGAACTGAGCACCATGCAGAATATCATGGAAGATTACAAAATAAAAGTAAGTTTAAAAAAGACGAAAGCTCAAAAACCAGGGCTAGAACTAGTTTTTGGACAGCAAAGGCCACACAAGATGCAAGATCTCCTCCAGATGTACACGTGACTTGTATCAGCAGTTGGCTTCCATGCTGAGGTTGAGCGTTTGGAGGTGGTACAGGAAGATTAAATTCATGTTCTCGCTGAAGTTGAATAACGAGGAAAAAAGTGATCTTTTTTCTTCTCCTGACAGGTGTGAAGGGAAAACCCACTAGCAAACGTGGAGAACAAGTTTGTTATGCTCAAAAAGGTAAGAGCATTTCAAACCAACTTAAACACTTATTCCAGGCTTTTAATATGAACCGCAGCCAACATTGCCGGAAAGAGAGGGAGACTGCCTCTCGCTCTCCAGAGACTCTAGAGGGACCTAAAGGCCAACTTTTGGGAAGATTTAATTCAGAGCGTTGAATCCCACCTTAAGTGAGGCAGTTTTGACTAAGCTTGTTCATTTGGGATGCTTGTATACCCCAATGGGCCAAAATCTTTCCTTCTCTTCTCTATGTCTAGAGACTTTTTTGTCTCTGCCTAAGAGGATAAGAAAGTGCAACAATTTAACCCTAAAATTTATGTCCTTCAAAAGAGCAGCCCGATGAGTTTGTAATCTCATCACCTGCTGGCACTGAGCAGTTTGCCTTTTCGTTTCATAAACCCTTGACGCACTTCAGGACATGGATTGCACCTGTGTGAACGAAGCTGAGCTGGAAGCCAAGGTGGAGTCCCTCATCCAAGAGATAAACTGCCTGAGGAGCCTGTACAAAGTGGTAATGGCTTCTCCTTTTCCGCCCCCTTTTCCTCCACCCATGCCTCTTAGGGGGTCTGTGGAGTTTGGCTCCCACAATCCATCACTAAAGATCACGGAGACTTTTGGTGTTTCATGTATACATCAGTTGATTGCTCCAGATTTCAGAGGTGTACTCTTGAACTGCACAGGCAAGATCCTCAGGAATCTGCTTCAACTTGATGGTGAAGGTGGAAGCCAGAGAGACTAAATCAGGCCTTAGCCTGAAGTCACGGTACATGGAGCACACCACATCCCCTTGAAGCTGTGGCTGCCTCATCCCTGGAAGTGTTCAAGGCCAGGTTGGATGGGGCTTTGGGCAGCCTGGTGTAGTGGAGGGTGTCCCTGCCCATGGCAGGGGGGTTGGAACTGGGTGATCTTTGAGGTCCCTTCCCACCCAAACCATTCCACCCAAACCATTCCATGATTCTGTGATCCAGAGGGAAAGCACTTCTGGTGCAGACGACTGAGAAATCACTCAGCTCCAAGCATCCATTGGACACCTCTGTTATTGTGCAAATGGACAACTGCTGAAGCCTGGACATGGACAACATCACCACTGACATCAAAGCTCAATACGATGACATGGCCAAAAGAAGTGGGGCTGATGCAGAGCCATGGGACTAGAGCAAGGTGAGTCATGATGGACACTCTCAAAAGCAGTCATGCCCCACGTCTGCTAAGGGCTCTGCTGCTTCAGCTTTCCTAGTATGGGTTGAATGGGCTTTTTAAAGGTCTGTTTTCTTAGCGATCTGCTGTGTTTTCTCGACGTGTAATACATCCTTCGTTAACACACATGGAGCTGCTACCGAGCAAATGAGTCATTCGTGTCCCCCGGTGACAAAGGTTTTTGTCTTAAAACTCAAGATTCAGGACCGCAGCCCAACACACACGGAGTAGGTTTAATTACTGACTCATCTCCTCACTCTGGTATTTATTTTCGTCGTGTTTTCTCTCACCTCAGTATGAGGAACCGAGAGAAGCCACTGGCAAACACGACGACAGCTTGGGTAACACCAAGAGTGACGTGCAGCTGAATCGCGTGATTCAGAGACTGACTGGAGAATGTGAAAACACCAAAGCCCAGGTAAGGATGACTCAGGGGCAACAATGCGCCAATCGCAATTCCAAGGTTGTGGCTTTCCAAAACTCCTCCACTAGAGCAAGGGAGTAATAAAGCCAGTTTTGATGAAATACATGTCAGCTGCTCAACTCTAAGACTTGCCTGTAATTCAGAGTACAGAAGCAAATCATAGAAACAGAATGGTTTGGGTTGGAAGGGATCTTCAAGATCACCCAGTTCCAACTCCCCTGCCATGGGCAGGGACACTCTCCACTACACCAGGTTGCTCAAAGCCTCATCCAACCTGGCCTTGAACACTTCCAGGGATGGGGCAGCCACAGCTGCTCTGGGCAACCTGTCCCAGTGCCTCATCACCCTCAGAGGGAAGAATTTCTTCCTTAGATCTCATGGAAATCTCCCCTCTTTCCATATAAAGCCATTGCCCCGTGTCCTGTCAGTCCATGCCCATGTCCAAAGCCCCTCTCTAGCTTACCTGTAGGCCCTTTAGGTACTGGAAGGCTGCTCTGAGGTGTCCCCAGAGCCTTCTCTTCTCCAGGCTGAACAGTCCCAACTCTCCCAGCCTGTCTCCATAGCAGAGGTGCTCCAGCCCTCCCATCATCTTTGTGGTCTCCTCTAGACTCGCTCCAACATCATGTCCTTCTGATATTGGGGACCCAGAGCTGAACGCAGCACTGCAGGGCGAGTCTCATGAGAGCAGAGCAGAGGGGCAGAATCCTCCCCCTCGCCCTGCTGCCCACGCTGCTCTGGGCGCAGCCCAGGACATGGGTGGCTTTCTGGGCTGCCAGCACATGGTGCCGGCTCATTTCGAGCTTCTCATCAACCAACACCCCCAAGTCCTTCTCCTCAGGGCTGCTCTCGATCCATTCTCTGCCCAGCCTGTGCTTGTGCTTGGGATTGCCCTGACCCATGCGCAGGATCTTGCACTTGGCCTTGTTGAACTTCATGAGGTTCTCACAGGCCCACCTCTCCAGCCTGTCCAGGTCTGGCATCTGGCATGGCATCCCTGCCATGGCATCCCTTCCCTCCAGTGTGTCCACCACACCACACAGTTGGTGTCCTCAGCAAACTCACTGAGGGTGCACTTGATCCAATGTCCATGTCACCAACAAAGATGTTAAGCAGCACCGGCCCCAGTACTGACCCCTGAGGAACACCACTCATAACTGGCCTCCACTTGAACATTGAACCATTGACCGCAACACTTTGAGTGCGACCATCCAGCCAATTCCTTATCCACTGAGTGGTCCATCCGTCAAATCCATGTCGTTCCAGTTTAGAGACAAGGATGTGGTGTGGGACAGTATCAAATGCTTTGCACAAGTCCAGGTAGATGATGTCAGTTGCTCTTCTCCTATCCATCAATGCTGTAACCTCAGCATAGAAGGTCACCAAATTAGTCAGGCAGGATTTGCCCTTAGTGAAGCCATGTTGGCTGCCACCAACCACCCCCCTTTTTTTTTTACCATGTGCCTTGGCATAGTCGCCAGGAGGATCTGCTCCATGATCTTGCCAGGCACAGAGGTGAGACTGACTGGCCTGTAGCTCCCTAGGTCTTCCTTTTTTCCTTTTTTAAAAGTGAACGTTATGTTTCTCCTTTTCAAAGTTGGTGGGAACTTCACCAGACTGCCACAACTTCTGAAATATGATGGATAGTGGCTTAGCAACTTCATCTGCCAGTTCCCTCAGGACCCGCAGATGCACTTCATCAAGTCCCACGGACTTGTCCACCTTCAGGCTCCTTAGATGGTCTTGAACCTGATCTTCTCCTATACTGGGAGGTTCTTCACTCTCTCAGTCCCTGCCTTTGCCTTCTGCCACTTGGCCAGTGTGGCTGGAGCACTCTGCAGTGAAGACTGAGGTAAAAAAGTCATTAAGTCCCTCAGCATTCTCTACGGTATATTATGACTAAAGCTGAACTACATTCAGTAGAGACCTGCAGTCTGAAAATACAACAACGTGCAGGCGGATGAACACACAGACAGGCAGATTCAAAGGCTCTGAACTGTTCAAAGCACATGCAAATAAGTGACAGCAATGAAAGTCTCCTACCTGCAGAGATACAAACTGGAAGGAGCCATTGCTGAAGCAATCGCTTCATTGCTGAGGAGCATCGGGAAGCAGTTGTCAAGGATGCAAAGTTCAAACTCTCCGAGCTGGAGGTATCCCTGCAGAAGGTGAAGTAGGACATGGTCTGTGGGTATCAGGAGCTCATCAATGTCAAGCTGGCCCTGGACATCAGGATCACCACCTACGGGAAGCTGCTGGAGGGCGAGGAGAGCAGGTGGGTGCTGGTACAACCCTGCAAGATGCTTGCAAGGAAGAAACATTAACACATCCAACCCCACAACTACCTTTCACAGCCTGCCTGATGAGCCATCACCTTTGTAGTTGCAGTAAATCCTACTGAGACCTTATGTCCTAGGGAGCGACGCTTTCCAAAGCACTTTCCAGCATTTATGGACCCAAACGTCAAAAGCTCCTAAAGCACTCAGGCACTTACAATTTTCCCTCAAATGGAAGATCTTGCATCAACAAAGACGATGTCTTGTGTAGCCTCACGTCTCAAGCCAAAGACTCGGCACAGTCATGCCTGGCCACCTTCGCCACCCCAGCCGCAACGCCTGGGTATCTATTCACACCGATCTAACCAAGGGGACAGAGGGAAAGCCCTCAGCCAGGACTCGTTCCCACTCGCACACACAGAGCCAAAGCAAACCCTTTTGCTGCCTGGGCATGGCACGGGACTCAAGAAAACTTCCTCACACGGAGGAGCTGAGCCGTTGACTCATGGCAGGTCCAAAGCACTTGCCTGGCCTGCCAGCAGCTTCCCACAGCTCCAAACCTCCAGTTATAGGGACACACTCTAAACATGGACCTCATTTTTTCACATCTTCCCTTTCCCCACACCCCTAAGGCTGGGCATACACAGTGGCTGCCCTGTGAGTATTTGTAAGTACCAAACAAATCCCTATTCCTACCAGTCCCCCTGGACCTACTCTGTAGGATGGAAATCTCCAGCTGAAATATTTTCTTTGCAGTTGTGTGCCAATTCCCAGGAAGAATCACATGCAACAGTGCCCCATGCTTTAGTGGCAGCTACTCTTCCAGCAGCAGATCCCTACTCAGAACCAGGGGTGTAGTGAATGGAGGAGTCGTCTGTGGCAAAAGCATCATCATCAGCTCTGGAAACATCTGTGCTCCTTGTACTACCATGGGAGGATATAGTGCTGTGAGTGGGAAGAGCTCCAATGTCAAACTCATGTCCTCTACAACCTGCTACAGGTCGAAATTCTAAAAAGAACTCAAGCATTTGAAAGGAGGGACCTCACTCCACCAGTTCCTACCAGCAGCAGCACCACACATGGAAAACGGGGGGATTTCAAAGCTTTCAGTCCAGTCCACATTGCTTATTCCCTGAAACTTTCACTACTGTTATGAAACTTGCTCTTGTCGTTACCTTATGCTGTAGGTTTACAAATTGGCTCTTCTCAAATGTTGTGTGTTCCTCCTGCGTGGTGTAGGTCCAGCAAAGCCTGGACAGCAGTGCTACTTTAACGAGGCAGTGCGCAGTCAGCACAGCACACGTATTAAGGAACCACCTGGCTGCAAAGATAACTGGGTTAAAAATACCAAGTGATGGAAGTTCCTGCTCCTCCAGTGCACAGACATGATGGAAGTTAAAAATCAAAGGGAGCAGAGGAGTCTTACCTGGACCACCTGATTCCTCTGTGATGCTTGTTCGCTTTTATCTTGTTTTTTCTCTATTGCTCCCCAATAAACTGACACAGCAAATCTGAGATCAGATGATACAGCTCCTCTTTTCAGAGTTACAAAACATATTAACACCACAATTGAAATAAACCAAACCCAAACTCGAATCAAGGCCAAGACCATCTCTCATTATAGTCCTCAAGGGATCCACTGGCATTTCAAAACATGCAGAGAGAGCTGGTCCATGGGAACAGGGAGGGGGATGAGGAGACCACAACACATCTCACTTACCACGCTCCTCCCGTGCCCATCACTCAGTGAGCATCCTGTGCCTGGACTTAATCCTCTAAAACCAGGGTGAAAGAGGGGGGGGAACCCCCTGGGGGCCGAAAATCACCGTGGTATGACAGATCTGCTGGCAGCGACTGCAGCCAGACTGCGCGAATGCAGCTGGGACGTGAGAGATCACAAGAACAGGAACAAAACAAGGGGATATTTTCCTGCTCTGAAGCCTGTAGTACGCTGGAAGAGGAGCAATGAAGTTTTTCTGAAAAAAATTTTTTTTTTTTTTTGAGATTTTCCTATTAGGAAAAAAAACAACAACGTAGCACCAAAACATCTCACTCCCAACATGCTCAACCCAATTTGAACTATTTGGCTTAACTGAGCTAGCTCAAAACATTTCGGGTTTTTTAGAAGTCAGCTCAACAACATACTCAGACTGCCTTTTCCTGTTGCATTGAAGAACCTGCAGCTCTGTCCACTGTTCCTCTATCCTTCTGGGTCAGGCTCCCTGGGAGACCAGCCTCCTGCAACCCCTGTCCTCAGATTTCTGTCCGAAAGCGCTGTACAGTTGCGTTTGGTGTCAATTATCTCATCACAGCAGAAAACGTTTCCTCGGATGACAACGTGGAGAGAAGAGATGAAGCCAGAGAGCCATAAAATACAGCTACAGTCTGGAGCAACGTGGCCTGGCACACGAGGATTGAGGACGATCACAAGATTAGCTCTAGATCTTCTCCTGCCCCACTCCCCTAAGGATGTCTGTGAGCTCTGGAGCCGAAGTGTCCAAGAGCTTTCAGATCCTACAGCAAAGCTGGTAATTTTGGCTTCAATTGTAACCAACCACTGAACAGGGAAGGGGAAAGAAACGCAGTAAACAAAACAAAATCATTAGTTCGAAACTTCCACCCTGGCCCTACAAAACACGCCGCCCTCCCACGCAGTGACGCGGGCACCGACGCGATCCCTGTCCTTCCGAGGATCCAGACACACGCGCTTGTGAACAGCAAAGCCAGGAGAGTCCGAGCCCTGACGCCGCAACGAGGGACTTGCCCAACGTAGGAGGTGAAGGACCAAGCTTGGCCCTGCCCCAAACGAGGTGGGAACCCAATGTTCAAGCTGAGGGATGAGAGGAGACACCAGTTTTCTGAGGATTTAGCCCATAACAGCATCTGCAAAAGCTACCATGTTCCAAGCATCGGTTTCACTTTCAACTAATCAGCAATTCCTCCCCAAATAAATAACCATGTTGGAAAACACTCATATCAGCAACCTGCAGAAAAAAAAAAAAATCACCTCGAGAAACAGCTTTGGCCCCACAGATGTTTCCCTGGCAGTAAAACACGTTGCCTTTTTACAGGCAGAACCAACAAACCATGGCCATTTACCACGAACCCGCCTGCACGACTTTGTTCATTAATTCTCAGTCGATTCACATTTATTACTGACAGTTTTTATTAAACAGCACGTTGAATCACATTCTCCTTCAAGGCTCTTACTCCCAAGCTGAAGGTACCAGCAAAACAAAGATCTCCATTGACAGAAAAGCATTTTACATTTCTTAAAGGCTCAGTTCCACTTTGTCCAGCCTACAAAAAGGGAACACACAACTTTTACCATGTCTCCTGAAAACAATTCTCCCAGCACAACTCCCCTAATTTTTGTTGCTATTACACAAGACCTAAATATGATCCCTCTTGACTTCACAGCATTCTTCAAACCTTTCTGGGGCAAATATGCTGCTGCTCTCTCTGTTGGCAAGCACAAAATATGCTAAGTAGTTCACGTTCTCTGCATCATAAACGTTTGGTGGAAGTTTCAAGCAGCCTCGCCCCATTTTGCACCCAAATAAAAGCAAGAAGGTGCTCCACTGTTGTCAGAGGGAACTGCACCCTGGAATCTGCTCCCAGCACATCGCCTGCACCAATCCCTCTTCCACCAGCAACCATGTCCTGTTGCTGCTACAGCATCAGCTCTGGCCAAGCTGTCAGGAATTTCAGCTCTTCCTCTGTAGCTCTTCCCAGGAATCGAGGTAGTTTCAGCACTGCCTCGTGTCACTGGGGAGGTGGCATGGGCTACTGTGGTTTGGGTTACTTCAGCAGCAGAAGTCTTGATGGTACAGCATGCTCCAGGCCCAGAAGAGCTGTTGGAAGATGTCCTCCTCCAAGACGTGGATATGGCTTTGGTACAGCTGGCACGGGCTTCGGCTACAGAGGTGCTGGCTTTGACTACAGGGTTGGTGGAGTCTCCAGGCCATGCACCATCACACCCATCACCATCAACGAGCAACTGCTCCAACCGCTCAAACTGGAACTTGATCCCAACATGCAAACAGTGAAGAACCAAGAGAAGGAGCAAATCAAGATGCTCAACAACAAATTCGCTTCTTTCATTGACAAGGTGAGCTGAGAACCCCTCCCCAGCTCCAATTTTCAGGCACTAGTCCAACCAAGGTGTCTAGCTGTGAAAGGGCAGGAAATCCTCGTAAGGCAACTCATTTTGCACAACGAGGACAACTTGCATAAAGGTGCCAGTTGAGGACCATGGTGTGCATGAGCCATAGTCTTACTGCCATTGGGAAAGCTTCAGCGTACTGGCACTATTGCTCTGATCTCTAGGCCTGAATACAGGGAAGGAACAAGCCAAAACCAGTTTCATCAGCCTTCCAGTTCCTTCCCATTCCTCTCCACACATTCCCAAATTTATTGCAAATATCTCCTTTCTAGAAGTGCTTAGGGTTTTTTTGTGCATTTCCATGTGGGTGGCCCAGAAACAGCCTATGTACAAAAGCTCACTGGATTAGGAAACGCTGCATCCACACGTACCAAGAGCAGGAACACATTTCATTGCTGTTGCATGGACACTGGCTCTCACAAACTCTTAATCCTCGTCTCGTTTCCAATTTTGCTTTCTGGGATTCAGGTTCGATTCCTGGAACAGCAGAACAAAGTGCTGGAGACCAAGTGGAGCTTTCTGCAGGGTCAAAACCCCTGCAAGAATACCATCATGCCCATGTTAGAGGCTTATACCGGTAACTTGAAGAAGCAGCTGGAAGCACTGAAGTACAACAGAGACCAGTTAGAAACAGAACTGAAAGCAGCACAGCAGGTTTTGGAAACCAACAAAAAAACGTAAGTAAAAACCAGAGAAACGTGAGCACAGGGCTCAAAATGTCGTTCTAGTTTTGTAAACAGGCAGAGACTGTCAACTTTTTGTGGTAGTAAATGGTTCCCAGAGCTAGCAGGTAGATGGAGAGATCTACCAGGATCTCAATACACAAAACAAGGTCCCAATTTACAGAGATGGAAGAAACCGAGGACATCCCTCCTTCCAAGTTCTCTTTCTCTCCTTCCTATTGCAAGGAATTAACATTTAGAAACGTTCAGCAGCTGTTTGCTGTTGCAGAGGTCAAACGAAAACAGTTCTGCTGCAAATTTGTAAAGACGCAGAAACCTCTCTGAAAACCCGTTTGCTTTCCCATGGGCTACGAAACAAGACCAAAGCATCCCAAAACATTGTCCGGGGAGAAGGGAAAAAATTAGGAGTTTCACTTTGTGAAATAAGGCCTGTAGGAACCCAAAGATGTAATCATGCTCAGCTTGAACAGAATTTCCCATTTTCCCACACAGGTACAAGGACGAACGCGGCCAGCGGACACGCACCGAGAGCGAGTTGATTGCCCTGAAGAAGGTAAGCGAGGGGCCGTTTGGACTCTCCTCTCCAGGTTCGGGTCTTTGGGGTGCACACGGTGAGTTATCTTCCAAAAGCAGCACACAAAACAAGTACAAGCAAGAGCTGGTGCTCACGTTTCCTTGAACTCAAGTCAACAGCGACTGTGTAATTGGGAACTGGCGCGCGGTCACGGTACCAGCACTGAGAGTCCCTCACCCCAAGGGTAGCCCTGAGTCTGCTCTCACTAACAAACTTCCTTCTACCCCCAACGTGTTTCCAGGACGCGGACTGTTTTTTCTTAAACAAAGCAGAGCTGGAGGCCAAGGTGGAAAGCCTGGAAGAAGAGGTTGAATTCCTGAGAATGTTCTATGAAGAGGTAAGAAGCCTCCCTATTGCTCCAGCCATTGTTTGCATTTCCCAGCTGGATTTTGAAGTTGCTTACCCCAACGGACAGGGGAAGAGGGGTAACACAGGGCAGTGGTCATCCCTTGCGGTGGATGGTGAGACGCAGCAATTCTTCTCTGCGTGGTCACCGCAAAGGGGGACAAAATTGCACCATGTGGGTGGCACACCAGCTTGGGGCTGGACTGGGAGCACAGCAGGACCAGCATCTCTCTGACCAGCTCAACCCCATGTCACCACCAGGAAACCCACCAGCTGCAGGCCCAGATCTCAGATACTTCACTGGTTGTGCAGATGCAGAAGAGCCAAAAACTCAACTTGGATGGCATCACCGCAGATGTCAAGGCTCAGTACAAGGGCATAGCCCGCAGGAGCCGGGCAGAAGCACAGGCCTGGTACGAAAGCAAGGTGAGAACACCTGGCAGAGGGAGGGGTTGGGTGCAGTTTCTCTCTTCAGACCAACTTCAGACCCAGAGAAACACCCCTCACTCTCCTGATTTGCTCTGATTTAAATCAAAGCATGTGTTTTTGGGATATGCAACGATGTCTTTTGGGCTTTTGTAGTTTGAGGAGCTGCGAGTCACTGCAAGCAGAAACGCTGAGACTCTGCGGGAGACAAAAAACAAGACAGCTGAGCTGACACGGACAGTCCAGAGACTGAACGGAGATGTCAGGAGTGCCAAGGACCAGGTGAGCACAGCCAGGTCTGGTTGTTTCAGCAGGGCAGAGGGTGAATGGCTGTTCCTGTGAGCTAAATTAAACTAAACCTACTAAATTAAACGGTGCTAGAGCACTTTGCAAAGGGTGCTCATGAGCTGGGACTCTGCTGCTCCAGCTAGGGCTGCACTAAAGCCCAACTCATGCAATGCCTGAAGGCAGATGCAGGTACAGCACCCCATCCCCTGCGAGCAACATAAGGGAGCACTGAAACGCGGTGTCCAGCTCCCTCAAACCCCTGCCAGGGAAACTGCGTGTACGTCTTACCTCTGGGCTGAACACACAGACAGACTTTCAACCCATCTCTTGATAACACATTACGTTTGAGGACAGCAAGTGACAGCTGGGACTGACTGCGTCTCGCTCCCTGCAGCGCTGCAGGCTGGGAGCTGCTGTGGGCGCAGCGCTGCAGGCTGGAAGCTGCTGTGGCCGACGCTGAGCAGCGTGGGGAAACGGCCGTCAAGGATGCAGAGCACAAACTCTCTGAGCTGGAGACAGCTCTGCAGCAGACCAAGGCGGACCTGGCCCAGCAGCTCCACGAGTATCAGGAGCTCATGAGCATCAAGCTGGCCCTGGACATGGAGATCGTCACCTATAGGAAGCTGCTGGAAAGAGAGGAGAGCAGGTGAGTGACAGACCCCAGCGAGGCTGCACAAGCTCCTTCAGATGCGTGTTGAAAGGGCTGCTTTGGAGCTGCCACACTGCAAGTCATCTACGCAGTCCTGACGCAGATCAGCTCTTCCCATCGGTCCTAACAGACCTCCACCAGTGCAAACCCACCCAACAGCCAGTCCTACTGCCTCCAAACAGGAGAGACAGGCTAGAGAGGGTCAGGCTCACATTTGAGGCTCAAGGGCTTTGCATTTGAAGATAGATTGATTATCTTCTCCCATTCTCTACAGGCTCTGCGCAGAAGAACGCTTCCCTGCCAACATCCGTAAGTTAGAGCATTCACCTTCTACCAAACTCAAGCATCTTCTGCCTTTTCTCCAGGGAATTCCTTATGCTGAAACTCAGCTCTTCTCTGCCTTTTGCAGCTGTCTGCCATTCACAGGGAGGTCTCACCTACAGCCCAGAGGCTGGCTTTGCAAGTGCCCCTGTGTCAGCCAACAGAAACACATGCTGGACCAGCAGCGTGGGGGTCTGCAGCTCAGCGGTGAGCTGCAGTGACGGTGTTGGCAGCAGCACAATGAGCTCCCACATGAAGGTGACGCCCATGACCAAGGCAGCCAGGAGCAACATGTAAAGAGCTGTAGATAAACGGCGAGGCTGGAAACAAAGCAACACGCAGTAACAGCCAGGCCAGAGCTGGATTGTGCGCACCCGGATCCCCCGGGTCGCACACCCATCCTCCATGCACAGGGATACAAAAAGCAAAGAGGGCTTTTCTGTGGTCAAGAGCTTTTCTATTTCTGCTAGGGAATCTAGGAGCAAGAAGGGCTAAAATTCCCCTCATCTTGTTAAAACAAGATGCCTTTGATGTAGTTCCCTGGTCTTTCCACTCCTACAGATTCAAGGATTAAAATGGAATGTGAGAGAGGGCACCTTCTACCTAAGAGCATTTTCATTAGAGCTTTATCCAGCCCAGTTGTCTTAGCAGCTCCCACCCTGGATCAACCTAGTTTTATCAGCCAGCCTTTTAGATCACATATACTCTCCCAGCACAAGCAGAACTCACCCAAAATCGCCTAGCTTGCAGTTTAGCTACACATTCAATCGATTTCATTGATTATTTGCCCCAAACTGTAGATTTCAAAGGCTACTGCTGTTTGAAGGCAGTTTTCTTAGGTACTTCCATTGCCTGTTTTGAAACTGATCCTCAGCTTTTCTTTCCTTCTGGGTTTTTAACAGTCCAGCTCATCTGTTACCATAAATACCATCATAACTGAAGAGACTGGGGCCAGAGTCCACTGTCAGGTATGAGAGGGACTGATCCATGGATGTATCAGCTCCTAGGACACAAAGCTCTTCTGTGATCTTGTTCAAGGGAACCAAAGCCAACCTTAAATGCATGGGCATCAATTGTCTTCCCAGTTGTCCAATACCCAGCACACTGAACTGCTTGTCTAAGTACATTAATCCTATTCAGGAAGAAAAGGAGGAATCAAGGATTTACTTCTAATAACCTTATATTTTGCCAGCACTTTTCGTCCTAGTTTTAGTCTTGCATCTCCAATAAATTGATATAGCAACTCAGCTACCTTCATTTGACACCTTCATTTGGGGAAAGGAGGGTTAATTCTTGTTTCTGCTCCGGCATCTCAATGCTGAAGCTTACAAGGGTCTAAAACAGGCACAGGCCAAGCCCTCCACCTGCTGGGAGCCCTTCCTTCCCAACCCAGACACCACACCTCAGTGGTCCCCCATAACCCCCAACACACCTATTCTCCATGCACATGAGCAGCTACGCAAACAGAGAGGTTAGAACCTCTCTCCAGAGCACCACTGAGTTGGAAGTGCAGCTCTCTTCTTCCTCACACCTGCACACAAGGAGCAGGATCCATTCCACCCAACACTGAGTGCTCATGACACAGCTGGCTGCCAGCAAGGCACGAGAAACAGGTGCTTCCCAGGTTAGATGTCTTCATTAGGACAGGGTGGAGCCCCAAATGATTTCTCCCTCCAGGAAAAACACACAAACAAAAACATTTAGAAGGCTTTGACTAAGCAAAGATGCTCTAGCAATTTGCACAAAGCTAACTGAAACTTTTTATTACTATCACTGATGGCTAAATCCCCTTAAAACCATCACCAATTGCTTCAAGTTGCCTGGGAACTCCTCAAGGCTGTATACCAGGAGCTGCTGGATGGTTTTACACCCCCTTGTCCCTCCTCTCACCCTGGCACCAGACCCGGTCCTGCTCAGCTCATTGCCGCAGCCCCCCCGGGGCAAAGCAGACCCAACTCCCAGCCCATGCTACAAACCTCCTCCCAGGCAGCAGCTGATTCAGTACAGGAGCACAAAGTCCCACCACCTCCAGCAAGAAGCTAGAGGACCTTTCCTTTTTTTTTTTTTTTTTTTTCATCTCCCCTGTATGGGGTGACAATAACCTCATCAAGCCAATTAGGCTTCCCATCAAGCTAATTAGGCTTCCCAGGTGGAAGCTTTCCCAGGAGAGGAGTTGTCTCCCCCCACCTTGCTCCTCCCTGCCCAGTAGAGGTGAGGACTCAGCCCAGCCCATGCTAGTTTTGTGCCATTTAATTCCTTTTAAACACAAGGTTAAAATCTCAGTCTAACTCAGAGCAGTGTTTTGGTCTTGGTAGTTACTGAAAAACTGATGGAAACTGAAGCAAATGCAGCTTAAACATCAAGCAACTGAAGAAAGCTCCCCACCACCTGCAGCCTTCTTTTCACACCTGGTTGGATCCAAGTCCTTGTCCTTCCTCTGCCTTAGTTTCCCT